CTGACAATGTTCAAGAAAATGTAATGTTTGCCAACCACTTAGCCTCCTGCAGCCTTATTGATCGCAATGAAGGGTACAACCTCCACCAAGATCCACAAGTGATGAGTCAGAAGTTATTTCCTTCCTGTACAGTTAACATGTCTTTGTTGCCTCTACTCTGTCTCTCCTGTGATGTTCTATTTCAGAAAGAGACCAAAAGACTTGACATGCTAGGCTGCTGGATTGACCGTCTCAACAGGCAAGCCTGTTGCCTGTCAACAAACATCGCCTATGCTTCACTCTTGTTCACCTATTTAAATCCCCCACCGCCAGATTGCAGTTCTCCATTCTGGTGCTATTCTGGGCTTTAACCCCTGAACGAACATGTCTTTGTCTGTGCTTGCCCTGGGCATTATAGTGTTTCCTTTCCATTCTGCTGGCTGCTTCAGTTGAAGGAGGGCAAGTGACTGATATGCAAGCAGCCATACTTGATCCTATCTGGGGTCAAGTAAGCTTGCCTTTAACTGAAGCAGTAAAGGGTAAAGGGGTCTGAGGACCAGGGCAGGATAGGGCTGAGTACTTTAAGACTACAACGTGGTTGGATGCAGAGTGAGTGGAAATTGGGGCGCTGGATGGAGTGGGGACAAAGTTTTGGTGGTTACAGGGATATTCGCAAAGATAATATGGCTGAAATATGCAATTTCTGCATAGTTAGCAATAGTGGAGTAACCATAATATGCTTTGTGCAAACACATTAAATCACCGGAAATGCATGAGACTGAAGGAATGCTTAATACAGGGCAAAATGGTCGTTCTGTGGGTTTTTAATTTTGAAGGGCTTGTTTGAGTCTGCGACATCAAACAGTTTAAAGGCTGGTTATGTTAATAATTAAGCTTCTGCTTGTTTTTTAATATGTAGAATTCTGTTGGGAGCACAAATCCAAATGGAGTTCACTCTGAATCTTGTGCCCCTGGGTAAGGGGATAGCTTCCTGGCTATTAGCTGAAAAGTGCTGTTTAAATACTGATGCTCAAATCAGAATGAGCTTGGTCATACCAGCAGTGGGAATCAGACTCTGAAGACAGCCTTTACAGGCTTTTGTGCACAAGGGCAAAATCACAGAAATTCAGGGCATGGGGATTATGGAAGTGTACTATTTACTTCAGGTGTATTGGGTATTGCTTGTACAGCCAGCATTTATTGCTTTGATACGGAGACCTGAACCACAATCATGAGTGGCTTCGTGGGCCAACTGCGGGGCAGTTAAGAATCAACCACATTACTGTGGGTCTGAGGTCACATGCAGGGCCAGAAGGATATTCGTGAACCAGATGGATTTTTTTCAGCTAACCAAAGGTAATGTGGTCACATATTACCCTTATTAGCTTTTTATTCTAATTTATGAAATTAACCAGATTTAAATTCCCCAGCTGCCGTGCTGGGATTTAAATTCCTGGGTACAGGTTGTTTAGAAACCTAATCATGAGCTGTCTTGTTTGTGTTGTGGTCCCTTCTGCCCTGTTGAGACAAATGTGGAGTGATTTAAATGTGCTCTAACTGAGGTTTGAGAAAACTGTTCAGTATTCTCAAAATCAGCATAGTTTTTTTTTCATTTGGCAGCGCTGCTCTTCCATGGGCTTATGTGCCTTCTCTCACTGACCAGTTAAAAATGATTCAAAGGCATCGTTGCAATCCAGGTCAATGAGTGAACAGTGCTCTCCAGCATCCATTCTTGGTTACATCATGGTAATAGCTGAGGGTTGTGCAGAGTGTGTCTTTAATGAAGAACAAACACTCTTTTTGTGATCTGTACCTGACTACTGGAGAGACGTAAACACGTACGGATGCAAAACCACAGCAAGATCTGTTTGGCCTCCCAGGAGTGAGGGCTGCAACATTCCTCCAGCTTTGTGCTATACAGAAAACTAAGATGGTGCTTCACATAGACAGATGCCACAATCTGGTCCAAATATCAATTTCTACCAGATATCATTAACACTTGGAGCTTCTAATTAAAAGTCACACTGGTGGAGATTCTAGTTGATAAGCTATTCAGTAGCCTTCAGTTTGTTCCTACTATTGTACAAGTCCGACGAGCTGCTTTTAACTGAAGAGGATCGTTGGCCAAGTGCTTGTGATCTTTGGAAGTGTAACAGTAATTTAGCAATCTGTTTTATTTTGTCACCTCCAGCCAACAGAAAATGGATTTCTTGGCATAAGTTTTCTTGCCCAAGTCATGCTTGGTTTATATGATTCTACTCACTTTGATTTAAAGTCCTGAGTTGTTTTGCTTTGTTTGAGGAAATTTGTGTTTGCAGCAGATGTATTACTGAGATTAAAACAAAGTCTCATGTTTACCATTGTCGAGTTTGTGATCACCACACTTAAACATTTTGTTTGTGACTCGTGCTTACTTTGTGAGCTTTAAAATATTACTGTGAAATATGAAATGCTGCACTAGTGTTGTAATTTCCACCATCACTATTGTTTGACTAAATATTCGTGGTGGAACGTGTGGATCTGATGTTAAAGAAGCAAGTGCAATTGGTCCATCAATGTAGGAGAGCGTGCACAGAAAAGTTTTTTGGCTTGTAGCCTCAAGGTGCATTCCTCGGTGTGCATGTGTGTATCTTTGAATACAGTTCTTTGGCTTTACTATGCTGTCTTACTAACTTGGCACCTTTAGGTCTTAGTGGTTGATCAGACCCAAGTACAGATTGCAACAAAAACAAAGTTGCTGGAAAAGCTCAGCAGGTCTGGCAACACCTGTGAAGGAAAAAACAATTAACGTTTCCTCAGAGCCTTGTACAGATTGACTTCTGCTAATAGTGAATTTTTGAATCCATGTTTCTTTCCTTCCAAGTCTTATGCCCAGTTGTTTGTTCATTGTAAACATATGGCTTTGAATATTCTGTTAGTGATAATTTTGTATTTGAAACAAGAAATCCTTCATCCAAATGTTTGTGAAAATGGGGCTTTCTCTTGCTGCAGTTGACATTCCTTTCAGCCTCTGCTCTGAGGGTCTGCCTCTACTGGAAGACACTGATTTGAGTGTTCAGCGGAGTAGAATATCTTGCCTCGTCTTTGCACAATTCAAATCTAAAGAAAAGTAACTCTGAACACAGATGCACGGTTTCAAGAGGCTTTTGTAAAGAGACGTGCAGGGTGGAGATCGATAGAAAAGAATTGTGGAGTGCAACAGTTTGACAACTGAGTTGGAGACGCTGTTAGGTCAAAAACACGAGGTAGGACTGAAAGGAGGTGAAGAGCGTGGGGCTGGATAGAGTTGCAGAGTTAGGGGTAGGGTTTGAACACATTAGGTGAGGTTTTAGAAGCTAATATGCTAGAAACAGA